AGAAAACAAAGTGTGATTTTCTAATATGCATGGCACTGTTAAAGATGTTTACTCATCTTCCTTGGGGCCAGGCCTCCCATTCCTGCAGGAAGTCTTGTGGTTAGGCGGTGGCTGTGGCTCTGGGATGATTCAGGAATGCAGACCATGCCTTATTTGCAGAGGAGGGACACGTTGCTCTCACTGGATGCATGGTCACAACTGTCTGGGTGACCTGTCTGTGGGAGGGCAGACCCCTCCTGCCAAGCCACATAGCAGTCGACCTGCCAGGCAAAAGCATTCCTTTGTAAAGGAGACCCTCCCAGACCCTCTGACCAAAAGGGATGGGTGGGAACTTCCTGGCACTGCAGGGTCCCTTGCCTGGCACTCCCAGTAACGGGGGGGGGGGGGTGGGGGGGCAGAACTAGGGGTGGGGGATGGGGAGGAGAAGTAGGAATGAGAAATTGGGAATCAGAGGGGTAAGTGGGAGAGAAGGAGGCACCTGCCGGGATAACAGGCCAGGATGAAGTAAATAGAAAATCCTCAGAGCTCCCTTGCTGGGCTCCAGCTGTGGAGAAGGGGGAGGAGAAAACCCTGTGGGACAGGGGAGGAGGGTGAGGGCTCCTCTTAGGAAGTTATTTAAGAGCCGTCTAGTCTTCCGGAGTCCGTTTGAGGAAGTCCCCGAGGCGCACAGAGCAAGCCCACGCGAGGGCACCTCTGGAGGGGAGTGCCTGCAGGTAAGCTGCCGTCCCTGCACCCTAACAGCCAGGGGCCCGCTGCGTCGGCCTCCGGCTCCTCGGTTTCCTGGGTGAACCCGCAAGCGGCTTGCTCTGGGCCCTGTGGCTCCGGTCACAGGCAGTCCCACTTGCCCGATCCTCGCTTCCTGCCCCCAACTCCGCACCTGCCCAGCCCAGCTTCTGAGCGGGACTTCTCTCAGGCTCTCCAAGCAGCTCTCCTGAAGCCGTTGCTTGCTTGGAAGACCACCAAATGGGGATGGGGGAGTTGGGGGTGCCTCCCCGAGGGACAAGCCCCCTTTCCTCAGGGGAGCAGATTATGGGGCTGGAACACAAAAGGTAAGGGGAGTGGGACCAAGTGAGAACAGCCCGCCCGGCTTGGCTCCCTACTCCTGCGCATCGCCTTCCTCCATCCCAATTTGGAGCTGAACTTCAGCCACTTCTCCTCCTTAGACACGCCCAGAAGCGAGGGCTCCTGCCCGCCGCACTCACCCAGCCAGGCGTGCACCTGGGGCAACCCACTTCTTCCCCTTAGCAGTATGTCTTCCAACACTGTTCTGCACCCCTAGCGATGCCACAGCCTACCTTTGGTATTTCCCACCAGAGGATGGCTTTCTCCAGCCTTCTCCCTATCATTAAACCTTTTTCTGTCTTCTCCCTCCCTTCCCCCCTCAGCTCACCAACGACTGTAAATATGTTTATCTATACTTATGGGTACCTATTCACACCTCATGCAAACCCTCCTGTCTCCTTCTCAGACCAACCACCTTAGGCGTGGTTGTCTTTTCTCTAGCATGTTGTTAGTGTTCCACATGTCTCTGGAACCATCTCTCTACTCTGGTGGCCTCTACAAGGGGGACTCTTCATCTCTTGGGGGTGTGCCTGGTTTTTGAAAATAGCCAAGTCGCCAGGAGTCATGACTGGGTAATCCAGGGGATCAAGGGGGAACCTTCACTGGGCCCAGAAACAAAGTCCCCCTTCATTTGGTTAGTTGGTCAACAAGTACTTACTGGTCACTGACCTTCAGGTGTGTGTTGTTTAAACTGGCTCAGTGCCTGCACAAGCTCCAAAGGAAGGGGAAGCAGGCTTGGAGCATGGGAAATGTTGGCAACCCTGACTTCCTAAGCCTATTGATAGCCCTGTTTAAAACTGCATGCCCAACCTCTCCACCTCCTTATCCTCCTCCATGTGGTTCTGTTTCCAAAGCAGTTCCTACCTCCTCAGACCCCTAACTGGGTTTACTTATGGCTCTTGTCGGGCTCCACCCTAACCCTACCAGACTATAATCTGTCAGAGCAAAAATTCTGTTTTGTTCTCTGATGTATGCCATGTACCTAGATCACAGCCTGGCATGTCGTAGGCCCTCAATAAATATTGGTTGAATTAAATTGCAAATGTGAATGCTTTAGAAGACAACATTTATCTGGACATGGTTGTGTGAGTTTATTCTTAAAAGTGACTTATAATCTCATAAATCTCTATGAAATGAACATAGATACAGCACATGCATGTGGCAGGAAAGATTTCTTGCGAAGATGCTGCTGTAGGATTATGGAAGGTGGGGGAATCCGGGTCTCCACAAATCTTTTAATTTTTATATTTATGTAAATAAACCCCTTTTCTTCTGCTTTCCATATGTTTTGGCACACACAAAATCTCCCCAGGATCCTTGGGGAACTGTACTCCGTCATTAGACTAATCCTTGCTGCCACTTCTCAGTTTTTATTTATGCAAACCACAAAATGTGTTGCTCAAGTGCTATCACACAGATATGTCTGTTGCTCTATTTTGGAATCCTTGTCTCAAATGTTACTCACTTTCCATGCCTTTTCTGTTGTTTTTTTTTTTTTTTTTTTTTTTTCTGAAGGACCTTGTAACGTTAAGAATGTCAGAAACCTCCAGAATCGCCTTTGGAGGCAGGAGAGCGGTTCCACCCAATAACTCTAATGCAGCGGAAGACGACCTGCCCACACTGGAGCCTCAGGGCGTGGTGCCCCGGGGCGTCAACCTGCAAGGTAGGAGCATGCGCCCCCTCCCCACCACTCTGGGTCCAGGCACAGCTGGGCCCTGGCCCCTCTTCCCTGCAGGGTAAACATCCTCTGTCTACACTGGGGTTCCCACAAAAGGAAGGCCCCTGTCAATCTCTGGTTTTATAAAGGAAGGAGGCAAAAGCTTTCTTTTAAGTGGTGAAAGCACCAGAGACCCAGAGCCTTGTGTCAGGTCTGCCACTTACTGACCTTGTAACCTCAGGGAAGTTGCTTTGTCTTTCTGCCACTCAACTATTTCCTGTACAAAACCAGAGTGCTGGATTAGCTAGGGCCTCTTCCAGCCCTACTGCTCAACGCTGTAGAGAATTTTCTCTAGCTGGAATATTCCACTTCCAAAATATTGTGGCTGTTTTGATTGTCTGGCTTGCACCTCCTTCCTTCTCCCTCCTCCCTTTTCCATCCATTGCTGTGAATTTCAGAGCCGGGGAGAAGTGCCAGACTCTGACAGTAATAGAGATAGAAGCCCTCTATTTCTCTCCAGAGCAGCCTGGTGAGCTGGCAAGGCAAGCTGCTTCCCCAGCCTCTTGCCTCTGCCTGATCCCTAGAAACCTGCTCCGGGTACAGCAGCCAGCAGTTGACCTCCTCTCAGTCCTGTCAGCAGTGACAAGGCCCAGGTGCCAGCACTGGTTTGGTGATACAGACATCATTCCCCTGGGCCACAGCAGGGACATTCAGACTCATGTCCCCGAGTGGCATAGCATTCGTGCACCAACATCCAATTTTACTCCTAGGGGTGTTCTGTGCTGGGTTTCACTGGGGATAAAACATCCATTTGCTGGGATAGGTGAGCATGGTCATGCTGGAGCTGTGTGGTTGATTCCCCTCGTTAGAAGGAGACCAATGCCTGAAAGCCCAGACTGATGCATCGCTCCATATAGCAAAGGGAAAGGGGAAGTACAGTTTATCCAGCAAGCCAGACACTTGCCCAGGTGTTGTGGACTGGTGTCACTGTGTTACTATCACACTAGATGATTTGATATCAAATAGTGAAATCAGGGAGGTATCCAGTACCATCCAAGTTTGGAAAAAGAGGTTCACAGAACAGAAGGGCATCTTCAGTCAGGTGATAGAGTTTGAGGGGCTAAGATGAACTTGTAGTTCTGAAGTCTCTCTCCCAGCTGGGTGCCACTCTTTAAAACCCAACCATGACAGCCACAGAAGTGGGTTTAAGAGAACTTGCTAATCAACGAGTCCTCATCCTCATGTTATAGGTTAGGAAATAGAGGCTGAAGGTAAGCAGTTGATATTCACTCCTTGCCCAGTCTATGAGTCTTTTTCTTTAAGAATGCAAATAAAATTGAAAAGCCTACAGACATCAAATTATGAAGCAGGTTGCCTTTGTGTATTCCATCTTCTAGCAAAATTCCCTTGTGGTACAGAAGACTCTGGGCCCCTGGAAAGGGGGTGCAGGCACTGGGAGAAGTGGGCAGTAAGAACATGAGGAGTAATGACACAGCTGCCCTTGCCACATGAGGAGTCAGGACACAGCCACGCTTGCCAGGATTGGTGGGGAAAAATGGGGACCTCTACAAAGGCAGTGCAGGGAAGCAGAGAGCAGAGGCAGAAGACCTGGCTTCTTGCTCCACATCTGCCCCTTCTTGCTCATTCTGGGAAAGTCATATAGGTGCCCAAGCCTCAGTTTCTCCATCAGCAAAATGGAAGCAATGCCTGCTTCACAGATTGTCATGAGCATCTAGTGAGCAGTGTCTATGATCATGTCTGACCCACAGCACATGACCAATAAGTGTTCATTGACCGGGAACATGCAACTTATCATACCCCAGCAAGGTCAGGAAAACACCAGGGAATACTTGTTTCTATGGGGAATATGTACAACCTGTAGCCCCCATAAATCTGACATCTGAACAAAATGCTGCTAGTAAGACATAAAAACTGTCAGAGAACATGTGCGGGTAGGCCAATGAAGAAAAAAAAAATCTGGGGTTACTGTTTTTGTTGATTTCTGGAGGCCGAGGTGGGGAACAGCATAACTGAACTATTCTGAAAAATTAGTCATTATTTATTTTGCAGTCATATGTGTCCACAACCCAAGTGACATTCTGGAATATCCATTAGAGGCACTGGCATAAGAGTGTGAATGTCCAGTGACTGTAGAATGAATGAATAAACAGTCAATCACTTGTGAATTGAATGACTCAGATCTAGTGGCATAATTTATTATTAATAATGAGCTCCAGATTTCATACATATGCATTCATTAAATATTTTTCACACAGACAAGATAAGTGTTACATGCTCTGGGGATATGGTTTCTGAAGGCCAGAATCATGACAGCAAGTCCCAGACGAGGACAGGAAAAAAACCTGTCCACACACACATATACCAGCACACAAACCATCGGAACAAGGAGGTCTATCTCCTGGTTACCCTTTGCATTTCATATTTATGTTTAATTGTTCTAAAAACAGGTTTTCTGGCAATATATATCAAGTTTTCTCCCTAAGGGACGAAATTTGCTAAGCGACTAAACCTTGGAAAGCATAGTCATTCATTTTTAAAATGCCATCTTCATGCAGTTCACCCAGTGGCCACTAGTGGCCTCTAAGAAGCCTTGTATCCGTGGTCACCAATCTGCGGAAGATGACTTTGGCTCCGGAAACACTAGCCCCAAGGGAAACTCTTGTCTCCATTTTTTTTCAGTGGCCACTCTTCCCGTTAGCAAGCTGCTCTTGTAATATTGACTGAGAAATGCAGAGAGGCAAGAAGAGGAAGCGGGGGGAAATGGCTGGTTTTTCATTCCTAATAGTTCTGTAGCAGTGAGTCCTGCCCATCACTGTGTGTGATATATACAATGTTATAAGGTATATTGAGTGTATATAGTACCCTTAAGTCATAGCTTTGGTAACATTTGGTTAAGAATTATTTTGGTAAAGTCTATATTTTAAAATGTATAAACTCAGGTAAGTTTCCTCTCATGCACACCATGATATTCAAGAAAAAAATGAAATATTTGAGGTGGGCACTGAAATCCCAGTGGTGGGACCAGCCAGTCAGTGGTAGCGTTTGACATCCTTGCATGATTTTAGGCATCCTTAATGTCACCCTTTGAATTCAGTTGTAGCCAGGAAAGGTACTGAGACGATCTCCTCAGATTTGGATTTGTATCAGTTTCTAACAGACCACTCTGTAGGCTTAGTTGGTGTTTCTGAAAAATCTCTCCACTGCCTTCCTGGTCTGAAAGGTCATGTGTAGCCGGAAATGTAACATTCCAGAAGAAACCTTATGTTGTTGGTCTGGTTTGGCTTTATATTGTTAACAATAGGTGACCATTTGTAGCAGCAATTGGAATCATTTGACAGTTCCAATGTATTGAATTAAAACTCGACAGCAAGTCTGGCTCTATGAAAAAATTAAACGTAGGTGGGTTCTAGTAGTTTTTCAGGCTAATGGGGTCTTATACCTTCCTGAGACTCTCCTCCATCCCACCACTCCTTGTCAGAATTAAATCAACCAATTAATGATAAGCCTCCTCTTTGTGCAGAGTAAACCTCTCTAGATTGAAGGTCACTGAGACACTTAGAGGCATTCAATGTATGACTGAGAAATGTCCAGCAGCAGTTCCTCCTTTCATTGAGTTCCTGGAAAAATATACACTTGTTTTCACATATGTGTCAGGAGCTGCTCCAGGTTCTCCCTGAGGACATAAAGTTGAGTAAGTCAGTCCCTAGCCTCAAAAAACTGTCAGTGTAGAGACAAAATAAATAAAAGATCATTGCAATTCAGTGTAATAAAGACTGTGACTGTGATTTATGCAAATTTCAGTGAAATAACAGAAATCAATGTCTAGTGGTGTGGTGGAGTGGGGAAGAGGATGAGGAGGGCTTCTTGATGCAAGGATATTGGAGCTAGGACTTAGAGGATGAGTAGGAGTGTTCCTGACAGGCAAGCACATGGAAAAGTGTTTGCAGTAGAGGGAACAGTATGTGCCAAGTGAGGAGTGACTAAAAGACGAAAGAGAAGATACAAGCCTGGGAAAATATGGCAGGTATCACACCATAACAAGACCTTGAGGAGCTTGCTTTCCTCCTGCAGATAATGGGGGACTTGAGAAGGATTCTAATTAGCAGAAATACATAATCAGAATTATGCTTTACAAAGTGGTAAGGAGGGCTGGGCACTGTGGCTCTTGCCTGTAATCCCAGCACTTTGGGAGGCCGAGTTGGGAGATCACCAGGTCAGGAGTTCGAGACCAGCCTGGTCAACATGGTGAAACCCTGTCTCTACTAAAAATACAAAAATTAGCTTGGTGTGGTGGTGGGTGCCTGTAATCCCAGCTACTTGGGAGGCTGAGGCAGGAGAATCACTTGAATCTGGGAGGTGGAGATTGCAGTGAGCCAAGTTTGTGCCATTGCACTCCAGCCTGGGCAACAAGACCAAGACTCTGTTTCAAAAAAAAACAAAACAGGTGTAAGGAGAAAATGGGGAACAGGAGATACATTTGGACGCTGTGGAGATACTCCAGGCTAGAAGAGGAATAGACCAGAGGGATTTTAGCCCCTGGAGGTATGGGGCTCATTTCTCCTGTTCCAGCTTCCTCTGAGCACCTGAGCAATGCTTCAACATTATAGGGTCCAGGACGTATTAATAGCAACACTTTATAAATTAAGCGACTTAAGAAACTGTTTTTAATCATTCTAATTAAGGACACGTTAAAATTCTGGGTACCCAAAAGAAATGTGAGAAAGAGGTCTTTTTCCTGTTTGTTTTTTTTTTTAAATAAATAAACAAACCAGTTTCTCTTGGATAGCATTTATGCTTATAGTTTTGTAATACTATTACCAAAAATTGCATGGAGAATTCAGTTCACCAGAGAATTCCTAGAATATAAACCTAAACATTTAACTTATCTCAAGATCCCATCTGTGACAGGTATAATCATTCTCTGAAGAATATTTTACAATCTAGGGAGACAATAATTTACATTTTTTCATATTAGAGAAAGAGTA